CACTCCTCTAGCGTCTTGCGGACTCCCGAAGCCCAGCATTTAGCGCCGGATGCATCCAGTTCAAGTTGACATAATAGAGCGTCTGCTGAGAGACTATCAACCGGCACGTTCTGGCGTATTCTGATATAGTGTTTAAATGGCGTTCAGAGATGCTTCTAGTTTGAGGGGATAACGCCCCAATTCCGCCATTACGGCAAGATTGCAGGCGGATCTGGGAACGTATAAAGTATTGTTTACAGAATTTTAAATGAGCTGCTTCGATAGGTGATGATTTTGGACTTTTGAATGATCCCCAAATTTCGGAGCCATACAACAATATTGGCTTTACACATGTGTCAAAAAGTTTGTTTCTTACAGATATTGTCGCGTTGGCTTTGTTTAGAGATTGATTGACTCCAAACAGTGCTTTCAGACCTTTGTTGTACAAGTGTTTGTTGTTTGCCTTGAACGTACCGGCTGCATTAACAACAATACCAAGGTAACAATAGTTTGTAACTATCTCTACTACATTGCTGTTGTACAAAAACTTACAGTCTTTTGGCAGACGGCCTCCCTTTGTAAAGACCACTACTTTGGTCTTCTTTAAGTTAACATTCAATTTCCATGTTTTACAATAAGTTTCTAATCTATCTAAAGATGTTTGTAGACCCCCGTTTAGATTCAGAAAATATAACTAAGTCATCTGCGTATAACAGGCAAGATACTTTCTTATTATGTAATATGGGGGGGTTACAAGAATGATCATTAAACTCATTTGCTAAATCACTAATGTATAAATTAAATAGTGTTGGACTCAGGTTACAGCCTTGTCGAACCCCACAGTTAGTTACGAAAGTTTCGGTAAGACCGCGGTTAGTTTTGATACAATTTATTGTTTTGGAATACATGTCTTTGATAGTCATTAAAAATTTGCCTCCTATTCCAAGTTCATTCAATTTTCGTAGAAGTCCATCTCTCCAAACAGAATCAAATGCTTTACTAAAATCTACAAAAACAGGCATATAGTCGTGCATTTTTACTTAGATATTTGCTAACTAAAGTAGACAGTACAAAAAGATTATCGGTTGTTCTAAAGTTTTTCCTAAAACCGGCCTGTTGGGGTTTGAGAAGGCTGTAATGTTCAGCATAGTTAACTAGTCGGGTATTTAAAATGGAGCAGAATAGTTTACCAAGACAACTGATTATGGAGATTCCTCGGTAATTGTCTGGAAGTGAAGTGTCCCCGGATTTATGTATAGGTACAATATGACTTAGAGACCATTCTTTGGGATAGTAACCGTTTTGTAGACATGAGTTAAAAATATGTAGAAGGGGTTTCTTTAGTATGGTCTTCCCGCATTTCAACATTTCATTTAGAACCATATCGCCCCCGCTAGATTTCTTGTTTTTTAGATTGGAGATTGCTATGTCTAGTTCTTCCCCTGTTATAAGACTGTCTAAAGTACAATTCTCCGGCGAGGGAGGGAGGGGGGAGAAGTCCACTTATTAATAACTATATAGAACTATATACTTTGCATACAAATAACAGCTCTATGCATTGACTACAATTATTTGCCTTTTTAATTAGCAAAGTCAGCGGCAACAAACACGGCGTACTTTTCATAATATTGTATCATTCTGTAAAAAAATCCGTCCGAACTTAGGGCACGTCCGAACTTAGGGCACCCCCCATAGCAAATCCCATAACAAAGTGGAATCAATTATCAATATGCTTTGGACTAAATGGACAAAACCTTTGGTCAGGGGCTACATTGTAATATATACCTGTTTCAATATTCGAACTATTGCTGCTGATTTTTAATTGAGTTTTTTTTTTAATTTGCTAAGAAAAGACAGTGTAGAATTATTTCTAATGCAACTAAACCACTCTTGTATGTGGGTATCTTGTAGCCGATGGCGAAGTTGGTGTGTAAAATAATTTGCTAAAAAGTCAAATGCTTTTTTCATATTAACAAAACAAAATTTGCCTTTCTCTGTATATATTTTTCGCGAAGGGATTTTAGGATAAAGACATTGTTGGCTGTCCGGCACTTCTTCCTAAAACCAACTATACCTTTAAGACAAATGATATATCGCAGAAAGTTACATATACCGAGAAAAGGTTGCGCTTTTTTCTATTTCACTAGTATTTGCGACATTTTCTGTTATAATTAACAAATTGTGTTTCTGTCGTACGTATAATATGTTTCTTTCTTTTTTTTTACAATTTTTGGCATATTTCTCTACGAAGCAATTAAATAAACCGGGAGAGACGCCCCCATTCAGTGTACATGTTCCCGGGCGATTATACCAGCCCATGGAGACTTCCAGACTAGAACAAAAAATGATTCTCCCATGTATACGTGTTCTTACACTTCCCACGAGCATAAAACAAAAACAACAACGACATTTTGTGTCCCTGAACTAACACACCATGTTAAGCATTTCTCTAAGCGGAATTTAAGCAAACCTAACTATTAAGTTAAACGGGAGAGACCTCCCGTAAATCTTCCATTCCAGAAAATTTCCATTTGTCTACTTCACAACTGAAAATTTACTGTTATAGATGAAAAAAACTTAATTTTTTTGGCACAAAATGAGTGTTTGTTGAATCTGAAATGCGCTTGGTTGCTGGGGGAACCGTACGAAGGACCGTACGAAGAACTATACAACAGGGCTTCATTGGGTCAGTTCTCTTAGTTCGAAACCCATTTCTGAAATAAGTTCTGAACGATCAGATTAGAAAAAAGGTTTTGAACAAAGAGAACCGACCCAATGAAGACTTGTTGCATTGTTCCTATGGTCAAAGAACTATCACCCAGTACAGTTTTTATAATCATCTCTAATTTTGAATTTTCTATTTCTGTCTCAAAAATATTTCTTAATAGTATTGCCACAAATAATGTGATAAGCAGAGTGCATGTAAATTTACTCTTTTTAGCATTCAATTTGCTACAACTCAAGTCACCAAGGTGAGCAATTATTTAAGTCATTAATAGTGCACACCCATGGTACCCAACCAGCAATTCCCATACGGCTTTAGGCCACCTTTTTTTAAAAAAAAGCTTTCTTGTTACACTTCTCTCGGTCACAAAGATCATATAAGCATGCTTAAATTCTGTTTTAGATATATACCGTAAATAGACGTAGTTTAAAGGCACACTGTGTAACGCATACGTAACTTTTTGGCACCAAAACTATTTTAGCATATTTCCATCATCATCGTGTTCATGCCTCTGTGATTTAGCTGATATCAAAGATGTATCGGTAGATGAATAGCATTCCTTCGCAAGGCTTTAGATAAAAATTTAGATATTCAAGTCGTTCCCAAGGCTGTCCGTTTGTGATATTTCAACAATGAGTCAACATGGCAACAGATGATTGGCATTGGATTGTTCACTTCAAAGCTTGTAACCGCGTAAGGTCATCCGTTTCACCGCTAAAACAAACATCGATTATGTACCAATAGACATGCCAATATGTGCCTATATTTACAGGAGGTCAGATGGTATCTATCAGCTACACAAATATCCTTAGTCTCCCGCACATTTTCCAAACAAGCAAATATTACCAAAATCTTGCAGAATATGTATTTCTTCTATGAAGCCAGTAGAGCAGTTTTAGTAATAATAATAATAATAGTGACCAGGGCGTTTTTTTTTCATTCACTATTAATCATTTTCCAGTTGCACCGTAAAATTTTGGCAGCTGAAAGGTGGTGGAAAACATCCTTAGCTAGTGGTAGACGAATATGGTGGATGGATATCATATTTATGGTTTACATGTACGGGGTATCGATGTTTACATTAGGGTCTTTTGGCGTAGTGGTAGCGTGTTCGGCCTTGAACCAAGATGTCCAGGGTTTGAATCCTACCTTGTCACCGATCTTGTGCCCTTAAGAAAGGCACTTACATGTAACACGACTTTCCTCACACCACTCAGGTGAAAATGAGTACCTAGCTTTGGTTAGGGACATCCCTCGGATAGGATATTAAATGGGGGTTAAATGTTTGGGACAGCCATACCCCACGAATGGTAAAGAACCAACCACACCTTTCGTAACAAAGTAGGGGCAAGCCCTGGTGTGCGATGAGACACGTACTTGTTTGACTATTTACTACGGACACCAGGAAGAGTAGTGTGAAATTCACACTTATGGAGATGCTAAGCAAACAAACAAACAAGCAACAAAAATCATTTGGCAATTGCCCAAAGGTATAATGATCCTCTAACGGACGCTGTTTCTGTCTGGAGTGGCCAAATATTACGAAAACATACTTATGTTAAAGTGGAGCCTTGTTGAGCAGCGCCACCCAGCGATACTTAGTGATATGCTTGGAGTCTGCACAGCACGTCGTCTTAACGTACTGTGCCTGCGCAAAAGCCCCATTCTCACAGTTTCACAGTACATTCGACTTTTTGCTTTTCCTACCGAAACGTTATTTTTTACCTCTCTGTAACATCTTAAATCAAACGTTTTTGAAACAGAAGTTCTAAAATTCTGTGGTTCTGTAAACATTGTGTTGTATTATTTTGTCTCATACATAAGCATTATCATTCTTAAGTCTCACTATGACCAATACCCACATACAAAGTAACACGAAAATTAATCAAAAGCTTCTTGAGTTAAAGTGTTCACATGGACCAAAACGAAACCAAAACATGACTTACTTGGCAGTAACAATATGTCCATTTTTTTCCTGGAGGTATTGTGGCCCGTCAGTATTCGGTCTAGAAATCATGTGCAAACTTCGCAGAACAATTATCTTAAAAATACGTATTGTATTCTATCATCATGGTAGTCATGGTAGTATTAGCATACACATCATCACAGTCTGAAATCTGTGGCTTTACGATAAAAGGTTACAATCTACGTTCTAGCCTTTAATGGTTTCTGACTAAGCTCGCAAGTCATTATTATCAGGTCATACTATAATGCGAAGTAATGATTGTTGATTTAAAAAAATAGCGTATAATACATTTTTAAAATGTTGTTTCATTTGTTTTTCCAGAATTTTCTGGAGACCCTTGCAATATCAATGACGATGAGATATGTGCCTCGGCCAACAACAATACGATCATGGATCCCCGAAGAAGCACGGCCTTAGCTCCCAGTGCAGGTGACAGTCTTATCTGCGACAACGTGCTGGCGAAACGATGGTACCGGTTCAAGGGTACGGGTATAGGTCAGAACCTGCAAATACCTGAACGTTGTATAGAGCCCTACCATTGCGGCACGCATGTTCCTTTGTGGCTTAACGGTACCCATCCAATCAACAGCCAAGTAGCAGACAGAGTGGTCTGTGCTAACTATGGCGTTGCCGGGGACTGTTGTAGCGATACGATTGGAATCCGCGTCAAGAAATGCATCGACAATAGAGGGAATGACTTTTATGCCTACTGCCTGTCACCTACTGCCGGATGCAAGCAGGCGTATTGTGCAGGTTAGCGTCTTCGGTTCGTTTATATCCAATTATAAAGACGATTCCTAGCCTTACTACATAAGATATGATAAAAAAATATATCATGGAAAGTAATTCAAGATATTACAATCAAAATATATTAGCATGTCAAGTTGTGGATTCTATTATGCACTAAATACATGCACGGATGTTTCACAAAAATTGACATTTTTATATCTTCTACGTCTACGTCATGAAAAAGTCATGGGGACAATATTAATAGCGAGTAAGAAAGACTTGTTGAGTCAGCATATAATCACTAAAAGTATAAATACATGTATTTATAATATAAATATAAATATTTGGAAGAAAAAAAGTCATAACTAAAAGACATTAACTGAATTAATATTAATGCAATATCTTTGATGAATGTGTCATATCAAGTATTAATTGCACTTTTTGCTCCGTAGGGAATCAAGTGCCATGCAACGGAGATCAAGTCTGGAGTAGTGCGTATGGACATTGCGTCGGTAAGTTTTTACTTCCCTCATCATTAGGCCATGTCAAGTTGATTATATGGATGATATTCGCGCGCGCATGAATTTTCGTCCGTTTCCCAAAAAAGTTTGTAACCAATTGTACAAAACAGTTGCAAAATATGAAAAAATACCGTATGTTACAACAAAATTGGAAAACGATAATGTCGTGGAATGCAAAAATCAAACGAAAAGGACGAAAACGTAAAGAAATAACTGCGAAGAGTAAATTATTCGCTATACAATACTCTGTGTCATCTTATTAACAAACATGACAATGTAGATTTCGTATTGAAAGCAACTTCCTTTCTGCCAAACTTTTTATTCGCACGCTCACATCAGTTCTGGGGTTCCCAGGGAATGTCATCCATATAATCAAATCAACATGGCCTTACCTTTGCCAAGGAGGTTGTAGAATGTTTTATATGGTCCGTGTGCTTGCCTGTGTATCTGCGATTCTTCTATTTATCTATCTATCATCGACAAATTCGCTGCCTTACTTTATAGTAGCGTGGGTGGTTCTTGAAAGTATAGCTTTAGCTACGGTATATAGCTACGGCATACACTGATAAAATGGTCATTACGCATGACCAGTTCATCAAAAAAGCCCATCTTATGGATGAAATTTATTTTCACATTCACTCCATACAATGTGTATGAATGAAATATATTGTTTGCCCTTGTATTGATTCTTTTTTTTTTCTTCTTCTTCACCTTCTATTCATCCTGTCATTTCGTTGGATTCGATTTCTTCGTTTATTTTGGCAAATGGCAAGGAATTTAGTATGGGAAGAATCGCCAAATACCCGCAGACATTTTTCATCTTTTTTATACAAGAGTTCAAATTTGTTTTATTTCTATAAGGGGAGCATTTTCGGGGAAATAAACACATGTTGGCCTTTCAGATTCCTGATATTAAATTCAAATGACCTGAAATGTTGCATGTGGATACCTTGGTCACGTATGTACGGGTAGTATTTGTTCCTGAGCATATATCGGTAATTCTAGTTATCCCTCGTGTTTCCTTTCCCCCTTCTCCTCTTCGTTTTCTCTAGATTTTGATAAAGGTTTTTGATTACCTCCATGAAAAATGTAGGCATTGTTATCTCCATGAAAATGAAGGTAATAGCGTGTCTGTGTGTGTTTGTGTTTCCGCACATTTGTAGTCAGCATAACTTCAGAACGCCTTTATGGATTGTAATGGTATTTGGTAGGTTGGTAGGTCGTAGGAAGACAAAGGTCAAGGTCAAATATGGGCCTCCTGGTGGACGACCTTGGTACTGCAGCAGAACTTCCAGTTTTTTTACCGTTTGTCCTGAACATGCTATGGCCTTGGATTTTTGGTGACAGATAGCTTTTCCTGTCAGAAATAAATGGTGTGGGTTTTGTTCACCTTGCAGTTTGTTCTGGAACTGCAGGGGACTTTCTGGCGAAACCTTTAAAAGCCAATAAGTCCAGATAGGAACAACGTATTTTCATCATTTTAGTGTGTAGGTAGCTGAGAGAGAGAGTTGGTGAATGATGGGAATTTTATACCTTTTGACATGTGTAAGTTACTTAAAGGTTAACACCACTATGCATATATTATGTTAATATAGAGGCCATTTGCATAATGTATGAGGACATTTTGAAATAAAGTTTGACAAAGGAGAGGAATTTTACACAAAACATATTGCCATTTGAATTTAGAAAACATTAAATTAAACTGGATTATTCTAATTACGATCTTATTTCCATAGTCAATGAGACAAAGAAAAATGGAGGTATGAGATCTCCAAATTCTTGTTGATTTTGTTTTGCCATTTGTAGTCAAAGATGTGACCTCGAATTCGGCATTTGGATACCTTGATTACATACCAACACGCTATCGATATACTTGTACACCGCTTTGAAACTATGTAAAGATGGCCTTTTTAATTAATATTTTTTTAACCTTGGCATACATAAAGACCCATTTCACTTCACAGATGCGGTTCCAGAAATGACCGAGAATCCTATCCTACATCCACCAGTGATCGACTTAAATAAATGGAAAGTCACCTTCACATGTGAGATTAGGTATCGCAACGACACTGATGATGGCGCGCGTTTTGCTGTGAAGTTTCTTTTCGACTACGAGGAGTTCCAGGAAGTCAACGATGCTACCCAGTCACCGCTAGATCCGACCAAGAAGACGGTTGAGCTTGACGCAAAGTATCTCGGCGCAAACAGAGATTTGTTCGGGGGGCTCATATGGTCTTCAAAGATGGGGAAAACGGTGAGCCAGTTACCGTGATCCTAAAGCTAAATATGATGTAGTAGGCAGGTACTGGGTATAACCGTTCGTCGACCTAACAGGAAGCTTTGCATCCCCGTAGTGGCAGCCGGCTATAGCACATCGAACTTGCCGTACCTTTACCAATCAAATCAAACTCCGATGATTATTGTCTAGAGGTATCCAGTGAAAGATCTCTACTGAAATTGATGAAAACAAGTTTAATTTTGCCCATGAGGCTTTTGAACAAATAATGCCATTACATGTAGTTTATTTTGCTTGAACTGTATGTGATTTTTATTGCAACGGTAGTATGGATTTTCCAGGTATCCTGTGTTGTGAAGACCTATTGGCAAGGTTGGGAAAATCAGACGAGCCGTGAGTTTTACAGCAATGGTTACTATGCTGGAATAAGGGTGAGGGCATTAAAAAAAATAAATCTCTATTGTTATAAATCTTGACGAAGAGAATATAGTAAGCATTGTTTGTCTTTATAAGAGTAATTTGTTTCTTAACCAACGTCTCCTAGCTCACAGTGGAAGTTCGTCAAAGTAATTGCACCCCATATATTGCTGTCTGTATGGTTTCTGTCAGGGTTTGCCTCTCTCTCTTTATGTTCGTGTGTGTGTGAGTGTGCGTATGTGTGTGTCTGTATGTGTGTGTGTGTGTGTGTGCATGTGTATGTGTGTGTATGTGTGTGTGTGTGTGTGTGTGTGTGTGTGTGTGTGTGTGTATGTGTGTGCGTTGTGTGTGTGTGTGAAACTGAGAGAGAAGAAGAGGGGGTAAGAGAATCAGACATTTACAAGTCGACATTTGTCTTGCAGGCTAACAAGACATACATGGAATTGTCGGAAGGAGGAGATGGGGACACCCTGAGCCTTTACAGCACAGTGCCATTCCTTTGTGATACACAAAATTTCGACCACTGCTACATCGACATTGATTTACAAATCGACAATGAGGTTTCTCCAAGCGAATGTAAAAGCCAACTATTTTCCAACAGTTGGGACCCCGAAACCCACAAAGCAGAGGCGCCAGGGCTGCATATATACGCTACTGAAGACGGGCAAGTAGATGGGGATCAAGTCAGTGTAGTCACTTTCAAAAAGTGCGCGTTTTCACGATATTACCATCAACTATTGGGCGAATTCGTTCCCACGTCATTCAGCGAATACCAGCCAGACAGCATTCAGGTATTTAATAGAACAAATAAAGTTCTAAAACCTTAGCCCTTTGACAACAGCCAAATGACCGTTTCTTCTTTCTCCTCCCGGCTTTTTGTTAAAATTGATAGATCCAATTTCTTAATTTTTTTGCCCAATGGCATAAAGGTAGAAATGACCTATAATGTTCCTTGTAAGTTACGGCCGACTGGTCTTTCCGATGCAGGTGTTGTTCATAACCGCCAAAACGTGTGATGTCAAGATATCACATATTAAATAACTCCTCACACAACCCGTATTCTATTGGCCGCTAACGTTGCATCAAAAGGTAAAATTTGTATTCATCTTGCCAAGAATGGAAAATCCAATGACAATTGACATGCAATTCTGCTTTTTGTGTACATCCTTTTTGTGATTAACATTTTCCTTCAAAATGCAGGTATGCACCAAAGATGAGGGGCCGACTGGTCATTGCAAGGGTGTCACCGATCCACACTACACCACTTTTGATGGAACGTCAGTACAATATTTACTTTCCAAGCAGAAAACTCATTCATTTCACGCAACATCTTTATCACTTTCACCAGAAGGTTATGTTTTTTGTAGCGTTGGAATGTGTATGTTACCATGTGTGTATGTATGCATGTTACTATTATAATGTGTGTATGTATACATGAGATTTAGTACGTATACAATAACTTAAGAAGCTATAGATGAATTGTCATTAAAGATTACTTAACTTTCTGGATGACATCCGTGCGCGCATGGGTTTTCGCCAGTTCTCAAAAAAAAAAAAAAAGATCCCGTCCTCCGATGCTCTGACCTGGCTCTAGGCCTGGGTAGTCCATGGTAGTTAGCGACAATACGGCGGTGGTAACTTTGGAGGATGGAAGCTCCACGACTCAAGAACTCAGAACATATTACGTACAGTGCTGATTCATAAATGACGCAAAAAACAGCATGTGCCGGCTATACGTGGCTATGTACTGCCGCAAATTCACAATACCAGTTTTGGCGGGTTTTTTTTAGTCGCCCGCGCGCACTAGTTTGGGGGTCCTCAGAGTTTGTCATCTATAAAATTAAGTCGGTTTGGCCTTATTGAATCCATGCAAATGATTATCTGTCTTTCTGCAAAATATTCTCTCTTCTTTAACGTATACTATCACTCATGATATTAATATAAATTTGATTCTACTCATAGGCACCCCAGATATAATCTAGTTTATTTGTTTTCCAGGCGTTTCACCATCCTTATGTTGGGAGAGTTTTACTTCTACCTCAGCACCATTAGACACTTCGAGGTAATTTTTCTTAGTTGTCAGCCATACTCGTAAAAGGGTTAATGTAAAATATGTTGAAATCATGTTGAGATTAATTAGTCTAAACCCTGTAGTCCTCTAGAGAAATGTGCGGATTGTATGGATGATATCCGCCCGCGCACCAATTTCGTCCGTACACACACCCCTCCCCCGATAAGCACACTTTCTAACAACCTGCAAATCGTAATTTGCAACCAAAATGTTGGAAAAAAATATACTGATGTCGTAGAATGACACAATCAATTCCAAAAGAAAAGGCAAAAATCTTCAGAAATAAAAAAAAGCCTATTCATCCCTACACCATACTTCATGACCACGTAATGAATTCATGAAGGCAAACATTTTTTTTTTATTTGCACACTCGCATCGGACTTTGGGTTCCCAGAGGATGTCATCTATATAACCGAATCAACATGGCCTTAACCCTTTCTAAGGGCCCTGTCACACTTTTGCGAATCGTCTTGCGTATGAGTTGCGTACGGGTATTTTTTTCATACGCAGCCGTACGCAAACTTCGCACTTCATATGCATCTCAGTTGTGTTGTATAAGTTTTGTGAACGCCGGCATACGCACAGCACACGCACCGCCCGGCTCAGTACGCAGCGTAGTTTTGAGCATGCCCAAAACTACGCTGCGTTCGCTGTTACGCAGGTCATGCGTTTTTAATACGCAATGCATCGGTCAAGCACGGTATGAGTACGCTATGTGTTCGTGGGGGACACGCGGCCCATACGCTGATCTGCACCTGGAACTGCACCTGTGCATAAGCTGCATACATTAGACAAATGCATTGCGTACTTACAGCGCTTTAGTACCGTTGGTATTGCAACAGGATAGCGCATTGTACCTATTTGTAACTAATGAGAAGCGGAAAGGTTGCGTACAGATCTAGATAGCGAACTTGCCTAACACCTGGGCTACACCCGGGGTACCGGCTCCTCTAGACCCCATGGTTAACAGACCTTCTGGAAATTGGCTGTTTCTAATATGTTTTGCTGAAAAGTAGATGATCATTGGGAAAACGTCTTTCCTAAAGTGCAATGTTTCACAAAAATGCATTTTGACACTTTTTAACACAAAAGAACACCCTTGTACCGCCTCCCCAAAAATAATGATAGGACTGGCCATTTTGCATATTATCAATATCTCTATCTGTTGCCTGTACTTTGGGATGATACGCCAGTTGCCTGTTGTCCGAGAAAATGTGTAGTGTACGTAGATTGGTACAAAATAGTTAATGAAAATGTAGGAGCATAAAAGCTATGGGTGAATATAAACTCAATGTCATGAAACATCTAAAGATGTAGCCGCTTTGAACTGTGGTTGTAATGTAGTGTCGATAGATATATAAAAATTGTAGTGTTCGCAGAGATGTGTAGTGTCCATGCTATCTGTGTGTATGTGCAATTGTAAATTGTATTTGCAAGTATGCGTGTTTTCATTATTTTTAAATTATCAAGGGAGGGTATTTCTTGACATCTCCAATTCATAAAGGCTATTAACAGTCTAACTGTTATGTTTGTATAAAGTCCGGATACGTGTATTTAATTTAGATGACAACATATTACAGGAAATTGACCAGGGCTGGGGTGAAATGGAAACAAACACATTTTATCTGAGTTGAGGGCGGCCCATGATGATTCGCTGCGAATGAAACAGCAGGAAGCAGCAGCGAATACGCACACAGGACGCTTGGCATTCGTGGGAAGTGCGTTAGGCATTCGGGGGAAATACGTTGAGAGCGTTTGGAATACTCTTGGCCTTCGCAATGCATGCGAACGCCATACGGATGTCAAATGCAATATATGCGCTGAATTCGTTATTTATACGCTACATGTGCGTCACAGTACCCTCGCGTATTGTGCGTACAGCAGAAATGTCTGTACGCAACCCATACGCAATTGCTATTCGCAGAAGTGTGACAGGGCCCTAAAGAGCAATGTAAATCACGTTATCGTAGCTAGACATGTAATAATTTTATGTGTCTGGGATTTCCCAGGTCCAGGTGCGCACCTGGTACTGTTACGGCGCACATAGATACGACGTCACTTGCCACTGTGCTGTGGCTGTCCGAGAAGGAAACGACGTTGTGATCATTGACCTTTGCCACGTGGGTTGGGGTAGCCACGAAAACGCCTACCCGAGGATCATAGAGAAAACAGCTGATGGAGGCCCTCTGTCAGAGGCAGTTTCCGTGTACAGGGATCAAACAGACAAGAAGTTTTCGGTGAGTAGATGTGACGTAGATTTGTAATGTAACCTGAAAACGTCTGTTGTTTCCTGATAGTGTTTGCCTGTATGTTTGTTTGCTTGTTTAATTTCTTATTATTTCTTGAGTAAGATAAGATACGCTTACTCACTTACTGATGCCACGTAACGGTCGAATTAATAAGAAATTTTATTTGAAGATGTTTTAGGAGATTGGCGTACCGGAACACACACACAAACGATGCTAAAGTTAATAATGTACCTTTTCAGATCCACATGGAATCCACTGCGACTGTTGTAGTCGAGATAAACCGTTATGGAATGGACGTCCACGTTTATGCTCCTGCAAGAGATCGTGGACATACCACGGGGCTTTGTGGCACCTGGGATGATCAGCCAGACAGGTCGAATGATTTGCAACTACCCTCCGGGTCCTTTACGACTGACGTTGACACGTTTGCCAAAAGCTGGAAGTAAGAAAAGTCGTGTTTTCTTTGTTATTATTAAAACAAAAGCTTACAGGTCTTTTTGTCAGTTTCTTGACACGGGTTTCCTATTTAATTTGAACCCTGTAGTCTTTTAGACTAATTAGCAAAACTTTGGTTGATAAGACAGAAGGCATTGGCTGGACACTAAATTCGCCTTTATCTAAATTTCAAAGATAGCATTATATAATCTTCTACTTAACGCTTAAACTTCTTGCCATTGTTATGTATACAGGAGAGGTCTAAAAGCTAGATAGGTCTCTTTACTCTCCTCCATCGATAAGATGTCTCGATGGCTCAATGTGTATATGCTCCGATACCTCTGACGACTACAGCTGAGTCACTTTTAGAGAGCGTTTAGTTTCCCCCACGTTCGACTCTGGATAAGCCTCGGTCACAACTCGCCGTACGTGCTTCTGCGTGCTGTCTACGTGCAAAAACGTGGGCAAACGTACGGCATCCGTGCGTGGTGAGTACCGCCTCCGTACGGAATCCTACGGATTTGGGAGCACGCAGACACGCCGTAGAACCTTAAGTGCATGTAATACTTTTTCTACGTGCGGTCTGCGGATTTACCACCCGTGCGTGCGAGTACGTGCGACGCGCGTGCCCCGTACAGCCTATGAGCGTGCAACGTACGGACTCCGTGAGTCTAACTTCACTACTCTCACGTGCAATTGCTGTACGGACAGCGCACGAAGCACGTGAGTGCCACGCATGGTGCTTGCGTCATCCGTGCTTACTCCTCACTTCCCAGTTGACCTGCTCAATGACCACGCAGAACACACGTGCACCATACTAGGTGCTCCGCACGTGCAACGCACGTGCAACGCACCTTATTTCTACAGTATATAAAGACGACTTGACGGGCGACTGCCAACTCGTCTCCAAGATGCCCAGGAAGGCTCAAAAGAAGTCTACCAGACAAGATCCAAAGAAACGGGCCGCGGAAGACACCAGGGCGGCTAGTGATGATGAAGTTATCAGGAGGTGCACGCACTTACAACGTGCGAGTGAGTAAGGAAATCGTGCGCACGCCGCACGTGTAGGTACGGCTTGTACGCGGCAACGTGGCAATCGCACAGAGATCGTACGTTGTAAGCACGTACAACTCACTTACCACTTGCGCAACGTACGATGCACGCAACCGCTGACGGCCAGGCGTGTCGTGCATACCACGTACGTACACCTTGCGAGTGACGTACTCCCTCGGCCGGCCACCCTACGTTTGCAGAAAAAACGTAGCAGACGTAGCCACGACAAAAACGTACGGACAAAAAGCACGCACGACGAGTTGTGACCGTCGCTATAGCGGTCCCAAGTATTACTGTCCTGACACGTAATTTGATAAATCACAACAAACTTGCCTCCTTCTCTGTTTTGTCTTTGGGTGCTACATATAGAAGCTGTATCATCCCTCGCATTATGCGGAGACATAAATAGAATTTAATCCCATTTTCCGAAATAGACAATGACTAATTAGCTATATAAATTGGATACATTGCCGAATTGAGTCCAAGTAACAAGAAGTTACAGCACTCTATCCGAAAAATATCGCGACTGATGCAATAATTTCTAACCATTTGTAAGTGCTCGGCCCATTCTTAACCCTACCTAGACCGGGGGGGGGGAGGCTAAAAGTGCCCGCGCCAAATTTGATGTAACCTAGCGTCTGAGCGGCTAGCCGTAGAACGGCCAAACTTGGTGACTTTTCCTAGAATATTGTTGGCAACAATTATCTATCATTGGAATAAGATTAAAAAATTTTGTGTTGCCATGGCAACGGGTTTCTGGCAGGCTTTTTTTCCTAAGTTTAGTAATTTTTGTTTCAACAATAGAATTTTATGGGTTTTATGTCAAGTTACTTAAGGTTTCTAATATTAATAACATCCCATATAATTTTATGTAAATTTTGTCATTAAATATGCATAATTTATGCTAATTTGATGACGTCATTGGTCAAAATCCAAGATGGCGGACCATATCATTAGAACAGGTATATACAAGTTATTTTCATTAAAATTTCATTAATACTTCCATTTCTTTTTCCAAAAAAGGTTTAAATGAAGGTCTTTTGTATGTTTACAATGTATTTTAGGCTTTGTCATGAAAAAAAAAACTATTTTTGAAAATTCAAGATTGATGACCCAAGATGGCGGATATCTTAAATAGGCATGACGTTATTTTATGACGTCACCGGTGTTGCTATGAGCAACATAAGTCTTAGTACACCATAATATTCTGTCATAAACACTTTTGGTACAGTTATGTTGAACACCATTTAGTTTTCAGGGAAAAACCTATCTAGACGGTTTTGGCCAATAAAATCACATTAATGATGTCATAATGACGTCATATTACGTCATAACCACAAAAAAATTGTAGATATGATAAATTGTCATTAGTACACCATCCTCTGAAAATTTGGTGGTCATACGACATACCGTTCGCGAGTTCTGAGGAGGGGGGGGGGTCAAAAGACCCCCCAGCCCTCCGGTCCCCCCATGCCCAAAAAAGCCCGGTCTAGGTAGGGTTAATGTTTTATGTTTTTTTTTTAGTCATGTAAAATCTTGCATGCAATGCTGGAAAGACGTACTTCTTGTTGCAAAAACAAGCGTACTTAAATAATGAGATTGAGCTAGCTTACTACCTCTGCTTTGAGATCAATACATGTCAAAATTCCAGCCCCTATTGGAATATATAGAAAACATCTAAGAACTGAGCTGTCAACGATCACCTACTTGAGTGTTCAACTATTGCAAACACACACTGACAGGGTATTCCAACTTCCAAATTGTCCATTTAGTCCAAAAATTTCATCTTTTTGACCAGCGATACATAGCACGGCAAATGCAAACACTGGCAGCGTGACCTCTGACCCCCTTGAAGACCACCAAAACACAAGAAGATGGGATTAGTTTTAGAACTTTACAAAGCAGCTAAAACAACACTAAAAGCCAGTTTTTTTTTCAAGTAAATAGAAATAACTTTCCAGCTGGAAAATGCCATTTATCCACACATACAAAGAAAAGACTGTTCTCAGTTGGTTTGGCTACACTCAACCAAAGGGTCTCAGACTGGGCCTTCTGCGCCTGCGGGAAAGGTGACCTTTGCCCTTAATACCTCTTTAGGCGTATTCTTCCTTTCTGTTGTTGGCATGTACTAAATAACATGGTGTATCGCATTATTCTGTAGAATCGATCAAGGAACAAGCTTATTCGACGTGGACTGCCCAGAGGTAGACCCACACGCCCACCGACCAGTAAAGACCTGCACATGTCAAAACGGGCGTATCCAATGTGGGTTTGGCCAGAATACAAGGCGAAATACTATTCGGGGTTTGAACACGAGGACCACCATTCAAAAAGCATCCAGGAATCTAAACTGTGGGAACAGAACGCAGGGCTCAACAAGATCAATTCAGGACAATACTTTCTACTCAGACGACATTGATGAAAGTGAAGGGTACGTCTTTGACTACGGAGAGAATCAACCCCCACCTCCGGTCGTCCAATGGCCAACTGCCAACCTTCACATCACCGAGGAAGATGCCGTGAGACACTGTAGAGAAGCAATCATCAACTCATCTGTGTCTGCTGCATGTGCCAACCTTGGTGTTGACATATTTGACCCTGTTGATGCATGTGTACAGGACATAAAGGTACATGACATACATTGCAATGTTTATTTTAGTGCATTATTTTTGGACCCTCATAATCTATTCCAGTGGCATGGGTTCTTGAATCCATTTTTAATGTTATCCCTTGTTTGCTTTTCCTTGCATTAAAGCTGACTGAAGATTTGCTGATCGCTGCGGCTCACGTGGATACAATGAAAGCAACGTGTACTGATGTTGCTTACCAGAACATCAGTCTGTACGAAGTAGGGGAGGATGGAATCCCCGTACCTTCCAGGGCCGTGCAAGACAACCTGTGTCCAGAGGACTGTAACCATCGAGGCGACTGTGTGAAAGGGACCTGTGTCTGTTTGGAACCTTACACATCGGCGGACTGTTCCCTCGAGAAAGGCAATACACCTGTAATCCGGTCCATTCCCAACAACGGCCTGTGTGACATCCGCAGACGTCCATGCAGGAAAACGTCAATCATCGCAGACGGGCTTGATTCTTCGAACGTCACATGCAAGATCGTGGACGTAAAGGTAATTTTCATACGAGAGGACGCATTGTTCTTTAATTTACCTCATGCTGATATGATTATATGGATTATATTGGGACCCCAAAATGATGCGAGCGTGCGAACGAAAAAAATGAAACGTACGAGTATGGTGTGCCAAATAAAAAAAAAAAATTCACATTTTCTTCTTGTCCTCTTGAATAAAATAAATGACGTGGAATCAGTATGGGCATTATATGGCATTACTATCTTTTTATTATTATTTTCTTTCAATTTCAAGCATATATTTTCTCATTTTGCAGCTGCTTTGTACGATTTACAGTATGATCGAAAGCTTGAGAAGAAATTTTAAACGTGCTCAGATAGCATACATATACTAATAATCAAATCGACATTGCCTTATTTAATTAGAAAAAGGAATACATCTTTTAAATATATGTATGGTCAATGATTTCTTGTCTAAATTACAGACAGAAAATGGAATTCAGACCATCATCCAAGGAAGTGAACGGCTGATGAACGCAACAATCCGCACTTTTCTAGAAGCTTCATGTCCTCTGCCAGAATCCCCAGTACTTCGTGGCACACCAGATGAGACGGAGGGTACTGACATCTATGGCTACAGTGTCTCCGTCAGCAATGATGGAGAAAACTTTAGTAACGAAGTTCTATTCACAATCTATGACTCCGTCTGCCAAAATTGTACCTTGGGACCAACGTGCTTCTGGAAGGTATGTATAGACACATATCGTTCTAACACCTTTAATGAATTGATTTATGATCCTACATGAGGACTACCTTATATGCACTTACATAATTCTTACTTAGCATGTATGTGGTTATTTAACTTACAATTAACAGATACACATGTTATTTTTAATTTCTTTATAGTTGAACACATGCAAAATAAGAGGCTTCTGCTTTGCTGATGGAGATCCAAATCCAAACAACTGGTGCCAACAGTGTCTTCCACAACTTTCCAGCAACACTTTTACTGACAGACCAAGTAAGAAAACTATTGTATTACGTACGGTTCTGGATAGAAAATGCGTCTGTCTCCTCCTCTCTCATCTCTCTTTCTTTCTCTCTCTATCTGGCAATGTCTCTCTAAAGGAGAGCGAGCTTTTATTGGTTGTATTGTTCTCTCTCTCTCTCATTCTCTCTCACACTCTCAGTCTCTAACTATCTCTGTCGCGTCAGTATAAATGTATAAATATATGTGTATCATACTAATTGTCATATCTAACTCTTGGCAATATTTTTTTCAGTAAATATACCGCCAACCATTGTGTCGCCAACTACCATCACCAAAGTAAGAGGAAACCATTTAGATTTCGCAGTCATTACCGATGACCCAGAAGGTAGGCCAGTTACTGTCTCCATCATATCTGCCAACAGTAATGACATAACAGTGAACGGCGATCAGTTCGAATGGAGGACAGACCAGGAAGTGGGCAGTTTTGTTGAAACATTTAAAGCAAGTGATGAATGTGGGGCGTTTAGCACACATAACGTGACATTCATTACCATTGCTTGTCCATGCCAAAATAACGGCACATGTGTACACAATCCCAACATGACCAGCGGCCGGGGACAATATGTCTGCGAATGTCCCGGATTCACAGGTCATTGGTGTGAGCAGGAGATTGACGAATGTCTGTCGAATCCCTGCCACACTGGTACGTGTATTGATCTAGTTAACGGTTTCAAATGTCTGTGTGATGAGCAACATGTTGGCGAGTTCTGTCACATCGAACAAGGCGACAACTGTGCTCTTGAGCCGTGTTTCCACAGTGTTCCATGTATAAACGTTGGCAGTGGCTTTGAGTGTGGTGACTGCCCGGAGGGGTTCATTGGCAATGGGATCATTTGTGAAGGTAAATTTGATCGCTAAGACAGTAACTGTTACAAATCGAATTCAATGTGTATTGTAATAGACATGTAAAACAGTAGTGACATGGCATTATAATATGCTGATCTACCTGTTGCTAGTGAGAAGTTTTGTTTGATCATCACATTCCCCATTCCAAGCTTTGTCTGCCTGTCTGTCTCTGTGTCTAAACAACATAAATCGATAATTGTTATGTGACGTTGTTATCTTTGTAGGATTATGGGGGGAAGTCGATTTTTAACCAGACGTAAATCGGGGTGTGGTGGATGTACTGTCGGTGGTTGGAACGTAGGTTGTGTTTGGGACAAGAAAGTCCAGGTCAGTTATGGGCACTCTAGCCGCTTTCTGTGGTGCTAAAGGTGTCCTGGTATTCTGTAAGGTTATTGTTGGCAAAATTCGTTCGTGGGTAGAATAAACTTTTAAATGATCAATTACTGCATTCTGTTGATACGATATAGTTTTGTTGCATTTTATTGGCGTTTTCTTACCAATGAGGAATTTTCTTGTTATCATTACAGGCGAATCAAGATCAATGCAGTAAATGAAATAATTTAATTGATTAAACATAATCGGGCGATGTACTATTTTCTTTGTCTACACAGATGTTGATGAATGCGCTACAAACACCGCCAATGACTGCAGCAATATTTGTGAGAACACCCCGGGCTCCTACCGGTGTAAATGTGCAGCAGGTTTCATCCTAAGCAACGGTCAATGTTTCGGTAAATTAGATTTCCTTTTCTACATTAGTACACTGATTCATGTCAACAGTTATTGAGAAAGGGATCCCTGGAGTAGATCCTGTATGCACGCTCACTAGCTTGAATCGTTCCATCTACGATAAATTGCTACTTTTTTGTCCAACTTAATGGTAGTAAGATTAGAGTCTCTAGGAGTAGTTAGAAAAATTTTATTATCATAAAAATGGCATATCATCCTATTAAACACTTGCAATTATAATAATATGTATATATTTGATGTTCTGCCATCATTTAACGTGCCTTTGTTCAGTAAGAAACGCCTTTAGGCCACATTTTAATTTCAGATTGTGCCTTTCAGAAACGCCTTTGGTTAGTTTAATTTTACTTTAAGACATACAGCGTGCATATTATTACTATATCAATCTGTTTAACTCAGAACTTGTTTCGTTATTGGATAACCATTAAGTTAAAATGTATGTTGCTTTTGCAGACCTTGACGAGTGTGACTACGGGCTGTAAGAGTGCTCTCATATGTGCATCAACACCAACGGCAGCTACATCTGTGCCTGTCCGGTCGGGTATTACCTCGGCCCTAAAGGCAAAAACTGCATCGGTATGATATTCCGCTTACTACTTTTACTTCTTAATTCAATTTTTTAATTAATGATTAATGATGATTGATTTATTATTAATATAAATATTTTTCCCGCCCGAATCGTTTTGCATGAGACCAAATCGTCACTACGTATATATATGATGATAGTAAAATTATCATTTTGTTAATGTTAATGCGTAGCCTCGTGTAAAGCTTGGAGCTAGATATAATTATGTTAGTCCAGTGGAAACTGTAAACTGGGGAAACGTCTTGTTCAGAAATACGTAAAGCAATTGATATGTAATAGCGAAATGGTTAATATCCGTCTGGCTAGAGACCTCAGTGATATGAGCCTCACACGTTTTTTTCTGCTGCAGAGACTGACGAATGTGCCAGTGATCCTTGCCAACATGGAGGCAGCTGTCTAGATGACATCAACCAGTTCAACTGCAAATGCCCCTTGGGATGGCTGGGGGCAGCCTGCGAGAAAGGTAAGTTATATGTTAAAGAGTTTTTTGGAGGCTGAAGGGACCTCGCAAAGATCGCGACTCTGCTTGTTTTTTTTTACATGGATGTATACAATCAAAACAAATTTTAACGAATAATTCTGAATATTTTATCCTTCATAAATGTACGAATAAACTACAATTAACCAACTTGAAGAAAGACATTCTTCTGTGTTATTACATTTATTAATACTTAAAAACTTTATCAAAGCAATTTGAACTTAAAGTTGATATTGTTTTGCATTTTTGTTAGACATTGACGAATGCTTGGTGACAAACTGTGAGCACAGCTGTGAGAACACACCTGGCAGTTACAGCTGCAGATGTCCCGAGGGTTACATGCTTGGGGAAGATAAAAGAACATGCACAGGTGAGGGTGAATGACGATACGTTTGGCATCGGCAAGCAAACTCGATACAACGTTATGCCTATAAATATATGTCAGAAATAGGCAAGCGACTTTGAGTCCAAAAAAATAGCCTGCTTTCTCTGTTACTATTTCGCTATTAGCATTTGGGTATGTAGCGGGTAGGTCCTGCTTTGCAATTGAAAAAATTAACAAAACACAAAAAACGAACAAAAATTACAAGGATCATACCACGATACGATTCTCATTTCAGACATAGACCTGTGTGACCCTAACTCTGGACCAGTGCAGGTTAGAAGCAGGTAGTCATCAAAAGTACCTGCACAGCTCCAATTTTACCTGCACTAACCTGCATATACCCAGTACATGAACTAGAGCAGGTTAGGTTAGGTAGGCATGAGAAATACCTGCCCATCTGCAACTTAATCCGTACTAATCTGCATATGCAGGTGTTGTTTATGTCTCTCAATATACATGTACAACGACGCTCTTCTCCTTTCACCTTATCATTGTACACAGACATTGACGAGTGTGCATCTTCGCCCTGTTTGAATGGCGGCACTTGTTCGGATGGTGACAACTCATACACCTGCCAGTGTCTTACCGGCTACTATGGCAACAACTGTGAACACGGTTAGATCTATTTATTCCTGTTAGATATGTTGTGCATTGTAAAACGTAATATATGCAACGATTTCTATTTCGCCATATGGATCATGGATATGCAATTGAGATTTTTTAAAAAATTCAGATAACTGTTTCCCCCCCAAATTTCAACTTGAAGGTATCATATCACGATGTGTTTCTCATTTCAGACATAGACCTGTGTGACCCTAACCCGTGTCCGTTTGACTGGATTTGTATTGAGAATGTTGGAGTCGGCGGCTTGCACTGTGACCCACCACAGGGTAAACATTCACTGCCATATTTTGGCATAATCATACGTCTGTAGTGTTACTTGCCTCGTGCCTAGTAATGGTCTTTTTACCTTGCATTGATTAAAAAAACGTTAAAAAACACCGAGTTTCTTAGTTCCCTGCAAAAATGTCAAATCATTGATTATACTTATTAAAAAGATATATTCAAAAGGCATCAGAAATACCTTCATAGCTCCAATTTTACCTGCAGTAGCCCAGTACATGGACCAGTGCAGGTTAAGTACAGAAAGACATCAGAAATACCTGCACATCTGTAATTTTACTTGAATAAATGTGCATATGCAGGTAGTGTTTTGATCCCTGAATATACATGTACAATGATGTTCTTTTTTTTCTTTTATCCTATTATTGTACACAGACATTGATGAGTGTGCATCCTCGCCCTGTTTGAATGGCGGCACTTGTTCGGATGGGGACAACTCATTCACCTGCCAGTGTGTTACCGGCTACGATGGTGACAACTGTGAACACGGTTAGATCTATTTATTCCTGTTAGATATGATGTACATTGCGATTGTAAAGCACATATATACAATCACATTGTACTTAGCCCCATAGACCATGGATATGCAATCAAGATTTCTGCATTCAGATATTTCATTAACTACTCTCCCTCTTTAAGCACTTGTCACAATAACTGTTTTTTATTCAAAAATGTCCATCATATTACGAGTATTATGAAAAACTTAAACTTTTCATGCTGATATTACGAGTATATCATATCACGATATGACAGTCAGATATTACAGACATATACTTATGTGACCCTAACCCGTGTCCGTTTGGCTTGATTTGTTCTGATATTGTTGACTCTGTGGGCTTGCACTCTGACATACCAGGTAATTAAAACATTTACTGTCATCTACTTGGCATAGTAATACGTCTTCAGTGTTACCTTGTAGTGGTCATTTGGCCTTGCATTTATAAAAAAACTTTTAAAACACTGAGTTTCTTAGGTCCATAAAATCGTCAATCAGAGAAATCATTGGTCATACATATTCAAATGATATATTCCTTTTTTTGTACTTTGGTGAGGCCGTGTTGATTTGATTACTAGTATATGAATGACATCCGCGCACGCTTGAATTATGCCACCGAGGTAGCTTTTGCCGTGGAGATAAGGTTTCGTTGGAGCGAGAAAAGTTATCTCCACCGCAAAAACTCCCTCGGCGGCAAAATCGTCCCTCCGCGTTATATTACTCGCGTCGCTCACAGAAAAAAAAACGACGCCCAACAAGTCTGCGAAGGAGGCTACGCACACATATATAATATCTATCGGTAGATATAAATAAATATTTAGATACATAGACATAAAACTATATGTAGATAGATACATGTACATATATAATATAGACATGAATACACATATGTCATTTATGTGTATGTGTGTATACACACACACACACACACACACACACACACACACACATATATATATATATATATATATATATATATATATATATATATATATATATATATATATACAGTTCATACATATCTACTCATTATTCAAAATTTTTGCTTAATCATTCGCCTCATTAGATGCATATGCATATCAATGGGGCACCACCCGAATTATGCGACCCCTCCAACTTACATATTTGTCTTGTCTATCTTCAGACACCAATGGATGCGCTTCAGGTCCGTGCGTTGCAGTAGCTACCTGTACTGACATTCTGGCTCCTGGGACGGGTGCTATTTGTACCTGTCCGGCAGGGTATCAGGGTGATGGAAAAATTCATAGCAGTGGATGTACAGGTAATTTTCTTTTCTTCTATCGTGTTACTAGTATAGCAAAGAAAATCACACGTTTTGTTGTACATTTTCGATAAATTGTGAACCGTTGCGTTAAAATTATTCCCCGTGCGCCTATCTTCACAGACATCCCCGGTTGTGACCCGAACCCGTGCGTTACCACAGCTTTCTGTGTAGATGTGCCGGCTCCAGGGACCGGTGCGGAATGTATCTGCCCGGATGGATATGAGGGCGATGGAGCACTAGGGGGAATCGGATGTAAAGGTATACTTTACCTACATCAATTCTGTTATGTTTTCATATAGCCTTATGCAGTTTTGTAGTGTGTAAACTGTAGCGTGTACCAACACTGTAACCCCCATCGGCAAGTAAAAGAACCGACTATCATGAAAGTTTATCTGTGCTGGTATAGTAATCATAGTAAAACAATGAACTTTATTCCAACACACAATTATACAGGAAATTTTCAAATTTTTAGCGACCACTGTCGCCTTCATCAGGATAATGACCAAATTTCTCAACACATTCACATCGAAACACTAGGACACATCGTCTCTTTGGACAAAGTCAGAATACTGGAAACTGAAAAGGACTTCTTTTTTTAAGAGGCATTAAGAAGGCCATATTATCAGATTACTTCAGCCTTCACTTAATAGAGATGGTGGACGATATAAACTCCCTGGCATTTTTGACCATGTCACTTATCCGTAAAGTCTCGAGGGAATAAGGCCACGTGTTTGTAACCGTAACTATTTTGTTATCACATTGTGAAGTGATTGGTCATTAATTATCCTGATGAAGGCGACAGTGGTCGCTGAAAATTTGATCCCTGTATAATTATGTGTTGGAATAATGTTCAACGTTTAACAGCATCATCTATAATTTGATATGATTTCTATCAAAATTCATAATTTCATGACGTAATTGCTCAATCCAAAATCCTTTCAAACTAATTCTATAAGAAATTAATAATGTTATGATTAAAACATGTATCTTCTGACTCACCTGGTATTTTTATTTGCTCCTAACAGCTGTTCCTGCTACCAGCCAGATGTGGGAACCCTGGAAAATCGCTCTACTCTGTGTAGGTCTTTTAGGTGCAGTATTTGTCACCATCTCCCTGTCCCTGTACTTGTGCTGTAGATGCAAGAAAAACCCTTTATGCAAGTCTGCTACCAATGAGGACGAGATGCCAATGAAAGGCTTTGAGGATCTAGAAGTATCCGAATGTTAATATAAGGGGGTGAACTAATCATTTCCTTGTATTTCCTCAATACCCCCTCCCATTTTCAAGGTCGTATGTACATAATACTTACAGAAGACAATTTCCCTTTCTGCGAACTATGACCCTAATCAATGCAAAACGCCATTGACTAAAATACCAACGGATCAGAACTTCAAAAAACGAATGGATTTTATCCCTCTAAACCTTAAAGGCATTATCTCATAAGCTTTGGTGAATAGGTTACTAGTGGAAAGGCAAATATCTTATGATTAACAAAAACGTTTCATGAGTCAGCCTATAAATCATCTGTATACATACTTAGAGTGACTCATTCGTAATTTAATAGTATGTTAATGTATCTGAATTGTAACCGACATTGTTAATTGTTTCTAATTGTTTATTATCCTGTTATAAGGGTTAGCCCTTTAAAGCTAACTGGGCAGTCCTGGCTGTATATTTTATACAATTTAATAAATTAAATCAAAAGATATACACTGGGACAAATGAATTTTAGAACACAAAAATCGACAATTGCCAAGTTTCAAATCCTTTGAAAAATTAATCCCAGCGCATCCCAGCGCATCGAGGGATGAATAGTGTTAAGGTCACAATGCCGAGGCATATTGAATTAAGCGAAAACATTTCTAGCAACCACTACTAGAACTAATGGACACTTCTGCACATTTAATATCTGTGTTCACCTACGTATTTTAAAAATTTGCACACGTGTCGAAATTAACACTTTTCGCACGTGCATATATAGAACTGCATATCATCTGCCTATAGCAAAACTGTTCACGCCTTCGCATGTCAAAATTGTTCGCACTTGCCCACATCAAAACTGTGCACACGAACACACATTAGAGCAGAATTTATCTGTTCCGAGCGTATGTCTGTTTATATAGACCTTTTCTATGTTTTGCCGCATCGGATTGTAATATAGCTTTACCACAGTTACGCTATCGTGTTGAAATGACGTTATCTATTTAAAAATCTAAAATAGAATGATGTACACAATGTATGGCATATCCACTGATAGACACCGGTTTCAGAAAAAAACTGTTTATCAAATCCGGTATTCTCTCTGACATTAATGTTTTCCTGTACCAAGCCAGAGCAGTCGCTTCATATCCATGGTGTAAGAGTGCAGATAATAGGGATTATTTGGGCGACAGATCAAATCAGTTTATTAGCTCCCTCTGAACTTTGACATGTGCGTCATCATCACGTGTCTTCATAACTTCTCATTGTATCATTGTAGAATTGCGCTGTGTGGTGTGCTCCAAAGAGAGTTTCACCCTCCCACCTACGCGTGTTCTCTCTCTGACATTAAAGTTTTCCTGTACCAAGCCCGAGCAGTCGCTTCATACTCATTATGTAAGAGTGCAGATAATACAGTAAATATATGACATATTGTAATACTTTTTTTAATATCATCAGCATGTTCTTGGCTTCTTCCCTCGCTTCTTCATCATCAGCATAATCTTACCAAAAAGACCAATGATTATCTGACGTTTCATCGGCATTTAAACTATTATAAAATACTACTCCGTGTTCCCAGAAGCTCCGTCAATGCCGCCGTAAGGGGAGAACTAGGAGCGTTTCCATTATACATTGATACACAAACCCACCTTATTAAATACTGGCTCCGACTACACAACCTCCCTAACGATAGAATAGTTAAGAAAGCTTACGATATTGCTGTGGAACAAGAACACGACTGGGCCGTTCATGTGCAAGACATGTTATGTAAACACGGTTTCCAAAATGTTTGGCTAAACCCAGTAGTTAACGCCAAACATTTTGGAAACGTGTTCAAAGAACGGCTCAAAGACACGTTTGTTTCTGGCTGGAGGCAAAATATCAGAAATTACAGCAAACTGAAAACCTACTTCAAAGTCAAATCTCACTTCGTTTTTGAGAAATATCTTTCACTAATACAAAACAAATCTTTCGCCGCTAATATAACCAAAATACGAATTAGTTCACACTGTTTAGAAATAGAAAAGGGACGCCATAACAATGTACCAGCCACCCACAGATGTTGTCCTATTTGCAAAGATATTGTAGAAGATGAATTGCATTTTATGTTAACATGTCCAGCTTACAATGAAGAAAGACAAACACTTATGAACTCTATCACCAACAGCACAAGTATTACATTACCTAAGACAGTCTCAGATACCTTTACTTTTCTTATGTCATGCCCCGATGCAATCTCACCATATATAGGCCATATATATCTAACTAACGCCTTAGTTAAAAGAAACAATGTCATTTCCGAAACAGTCAACTGATTGCTTACACATAACAATGGAATCAACTATATATATATATATATATATATATCCATTATACTAGTAATACTTAAGTATAGGACAGCGTAGTATTTAGTTGTAGATTTACAGAACCCCTGTATAATGTTTGCCATTCCTTTTGTATACTAGTACGATGTAACTTAAGTTCGATTCATATACAGCATGAATGTAGTACTCTTTTACGCATTAGTTTAGATTTTAGATTTGTACTTAGTACCGCTAATTGCCATACGATGTATCCGTACATTAGTTGTGCAATAAACTTTGACTTGACTTTACCTTTCAGTGTTGAATATACGTATGTTCTTTACATTTGACACGACACATTTTGTAGAGAGACTGCATGTCTGGATAAAGGAAGCTGGCAAAACTTACCTGCTAGTGGGTGGTGGTGCAGCTGTTACAATGTAGGTAAAACCAAGACTGATTAATTATCCTGGAAAGAACAAATTTAAGACTTAAACCCTTTAAAGTGCTGTTGTTAATTTTGTGATTCGTTTTAAGGATCGGTGTACAGCATCAGAGCATTGATTACAAGTTAATATATAATGTTACATTACCTCTTCTGCCTACTCTAAAAAGCTCCAAATGTACCTACCAACTCTGTCCAAAGTTTCATTAAATTCAGGCACAGGAAGGCGCGTAGGGTGTCTTCTCTCCTGACCTGGTGAGCTTGAAAAATGTCTACTCTGGGTTTAGTTGCTCCTCTAATTTACAGCTTTGTCACAAGGTGTAGTTCAAATAGTCAGACTCTGACCCATACCTTCATCCCTGTCAAACATGCTTATTGGTTGATCTGTAAACCTTGAACCGGAACTATCTAAATATTGATCAGGACATGTGATCAACTATTGTTTTTTTTTTGCTTATACTTGCAGATTAATCTACCATAAATATAATACTCTCTCTCTCACTCACACACACACATACATACACACACGCACACACACACTAACACACACACTAACACACACACACAAACACACACAAACACACACACACACACACAAACACACTACACACACAAAACACACACAAGCACACACACACACACACACACACACACACACACACACACACACACACACACACACACACACACACACACACACACACTACACACCTACACACACAAACACACACACACAAAGACTGACAATACAAAGACTTCATAAACACAACATACAAAACAATAGATAAGAAAACTTTTCATGTTTAGAAACATTGGTTTTCTATGAGAAACAAAACAAAACACTTTATTTTAATTATGACTTTTTACAATTGGTCAATTGAATTTTTTCCCTTTTTGAATCATTAACTATTGAACAATGAATACAAAAAAAAACAATTCAAAAGATTTCAGGAATAGGCCTTATATAAATCTCAAACATCAAATTATAAATCAACTTACATCAGATTATCCTATCAGACTGTCTTATATCTCTATACAACATTGTATAATAAGCCTTAGTTTACAACCGAGGAGTGTTTTGTACATGTGACTATTACATTGAATGACATTGTTTGACATTCAGGCTGGTTGTATCTTGTTTTAAGGGTGGGCATTAAGTCTTTTGGTTGTTAAAGATTTTCAGAACACACACACACACACACACACACACACACACACACACACACACACACAGACACACACAGACACATACTCAAACGCTGACAATACGCAATATACAAACTTCATAAACACCACAAGGATAAGTAACAAAACTTTTCATCATGTTTAGAAATATTACTTGTCTATAACAGTTTACGTTTATCATGACTTTTTACAATACATCTTTTTCTTTAAATTTCTTTGAATCACTAACTACTGAACAATGAATATAACCAAACCAATAACATGATTTTAGAAATAGATCCTCCTGCATGTATATAATTTTCAGAAAATAATGACTGTACTAGATTATCATTAGATGGCTATTCTTAACTTTCTTAGCTATAATCATAATATAAAGCCTGTACAAGCTAAGAATATTTTGAGTACATCTAACTATCACATGCATCACTGTGTGACATTATGCCTGTTTGTTTATCTTCTCTGATCTTAACAGTGAGCATTAAATCTTTCGGTTGTTAAAATTTTTCAGGATCTTTTAGGTCCCTCTCAGTGACTGGTATTGATGTAAATTGTCCTGTCCATTGCCAGGTTGTCTATAACAGTTATGGTTGTATTCAAGCTAAGGGTGTTTTATCTTTAGGTTTGTCTTTATGTGACTATTACATGTAATAGCCACTTGGAGGTCAAGGGACGTGGTAGGTAGATTGGTTGACTTTATTTTATTTGATTTATTGGAATTGCAACAGTACAATACGCATGGGACACAGGCAGCTGTTGCTGGTGTTGTGTCCCACACATATTAATTTTCACTTGAAAATGAGTATGTGCCGGATACCTAGTCCCTAGAATAATAGCCAACGTACCAGGTAGGTACATGTAGGTAGAAGATTATATGCATGACAGAATCTTAAACATTACTGTGTGACATTCAGGCTGGTTGTTTGCCTATTTATCTTTTTTGGGCCTTAAATATTTTGGTTGTTAAAAAGTTTCAGAATCTATTCATGTCCTTCTGAGTGACTGGTAGTGGTGTGAAGCATCATGCCCATATTCAGGCTGATTCCTAGTCACTGCCAGTGATTGGTAGGCGTGCTCAGGGATATTAGCACTGGCTGTGCGGGGAGGGGGGAGAGGGGGAGGTTCATTGTTGTTCCCGTTGGGTGGTTGAAGGGCCTGCCCTCTAGCAGTTTGCATCAGAACTGCACCTCTTGGAGGAGGCTGCACATCTTCGTAAGGCTCGGACTGGACCGAAACTGGTCGTGGGATGAGATGTGGGTTTCTCACATCCAAAGATAGACTGACAGGTTGGGTTTGAGTTGTCGTGTTGGTGTTGTTATAAACAACACTGAAGTCTGGGCGTTTGGGAGGACTCTGGTTGTTCCTTTTGCACCAGATAGCGAGAATGATGCCACCGATAAACAGAGTACCGGCTATAGAACCACAGATAGCGGCAAGGAGGACAGGCAAGGAGAAACAGGGGGAAGATTGTAGTTTTGAAGGTGAAGCAACAACAGTTGGGGAGAAAGCGGCTTGAGCAGAGTCATGGTCAGTGGTGCTATCTGGGCTGTTTGAGGTTGTAGGAAGAGGAGAAGTCGCTGTTGTCACTGTCTGTAGGTTTACAACCAGAGTAGCAAAAGTTGAGCCAGCAAGATTTGTCGCAATACAGACGCACAAACCAGCATGTGCTGTTACAGTAGTAACATTCACTTCCCCACCTGACTCGACAGTGGCGTTCAGTCCAGATGGGAGAATGACTGTGATGTCTGGTTTGGGAATACCTGAAGCTTCACAGACAAAATGGATAGACCCTCCTTGTACAAAGCGTTTTTTTGCAATTTTTTGAAACCTTGCAATAGTTGGTTCTGTGCAGATCAAATCTCCTGGATTAATACCTAGCAAGCTTTGCCCATAGAGGTTGTCAGGTTGGGAACAAGTGATCTGGTTTTCAAAAGGACGCGACCCTGTCATTTTTAACCTGAAGTCAACCATCCTACAGTCACACTGCCAGGGATTGTTGCCAATTCGAACATCTGAGAGGGATAAAAGTTTGTCATAAGCCGTGGACGGAAGAATTTTCATTTGATTATTTTCAAGGTAAAGGGAAGACAGCCTTTGAAGTCTTGCCAGGGGAAATGTTGTGATGTTATTGTCAGACAGGTCCAGGGTGTATAGAAATGATAAAGGTACGTGAATGTTGGAAGGCTCTGTGAGAGGTTGAGTGAAATTAGTATAAAATAAAGCTTTGAACCAGCCCAGTCGCGGTGTTGAATCAAAAGTTCCCACCTGAATGTCATTGATCTGGTTACTGTTTAGAGAAAGTTCATTTAAGTTTCCCAGCCCTGTGAACATGTCAGATCCGAGACTTGTAAGGCGGTTTCGGGAGAGACCTAAATTGATCAAGTTTGTCAGGGGAGAGAATGCATGGCTATTGATAGTGGAAATGAGATTGTCATCAAGCCTTAAAGTCCGTAATCTGGGATAACGTGAGAAATCGGACTGACTTAGAGTGGTAATTTGATTACTTCTCAAATCCAGGCTGGAGATGGTTCTCGGCAGGTCCTGGGGAACACTGGTGAGACCCAGACTGCTACAGTCACAGGAAGACAAACAAGTTGAGCTGCAGTCAGCTTCTGCTGTTCCCAACACCTTTAAGATGACCAGGAGCTGGAGCATCAGCACACCTGCTGGCTTCTTCTTCGTGTTGCAGTCCATGTCCTGGTGCAATATTTTTGATATACATGTAAGATACTAAATACTCCTGGACCATAAATTTTTATGCTTTATTCTTTTGCATGGAAATTTCAGTACATGGGAGTTTCAGTACAACAGAGAAGAGTAGAAGCAAATCAGACTTACCATAATATGAAGGAATGATGTGAAGATTAAGATGTGTCGGCAGGTAACCTGCACTTGGGCTGAAAAACCTGGAACTAAGCCAGGGACTCCACCTTGCAGTGCCTGGAGACCCTACATTGGGTTAAGGGTCCATGATTAGCCAGTGTTCATGATCAAATTTAACTGTTGTTACGGTATTTTAATTTAGCACATGATTTTAAACATTCTAGGAATAAACCACAAGGCTCAGCTTAAGGGTAAAATAACAAATGATTATCAAGAAGATCCCTATTTTACACCAAGGCTGAAGACCATTGTACCAAAAGGTCGAAACAGGATGTTTACCATCATCACACTCTTACTACTCTTACTAAAACTTACCTTTCAAAGCAAGCCGGACTCTGGTCTTCTGGACACCTTCTTGCCAGAAACACCTGTGGACCTTCTTAAAGTCTTGGGGATCTTCTCTGGTTCTTGGTGTTGCGCCTGTAGGATATTATCTGTGTACTAAGGTAACAAACGGCAGCAAATAACCCAGTCAGACTTAAACAACTTAAACGTTGCTCTATATAGTTGGTGCATGGTACATATGGCATTTGCTTCCTACATTGGATGGGATGTTTAAACATTAACCTGAATGTGGGCTCACTACTGTTCTAAACAATGGCAGTAGCTGTGCACATAGTAATGCATTCCAGGGTTGTCAAGCTTGATATTTCCTTCAGTTCCTCACCTTTTGCGCCCATGCCGTGTCAACATATCACATAAGCGACGGTCACAACCCGCCGTACGTGTTTTTTCTCCGTACGTTTTTTTGGGAGGCTACGTCTGCTACGTTTTTTCTGAAAACGTGGGGAAGGAGTGGCGTCTACGCACGTCACTCGCACGTCACTCGCACGGTTGCACAAAGTTTAAGAGTGTGGTCTGCATGCCAAGTCTGGCCGTGAGCGGTTGCGTGCATCGTACGTTGCGCAAGTGGTAAGTGAGTTGTACGTGCTTACAACGCAAGTTCTCAATTGCAATGAATATATATATATATGTATATATATATATACTATATAGGACTGATACAGGAGATATACATGTAAATATACTCATTGGTTCATACTTAATTTTAATTTAAAGCAAAATTTCTATGTATTTTTCCCCTCTGTATATACGCTAAATTGAAGGGTCTCCCAAGGAAGGAATAAAGATTAAAAAAAGAAGAATGAATGGATATCTAGTGAATGAATGAACGGGAAGTCCTTTCTTGGGTGGTAGTCCGTTAAAACCATACACCGTCAACACAAAGCCATGCTAGTGTATAAGGTCTTGGACAAATCTTTACCACCACATATGCGAGGGGTTTTCATCCGGTAAAGAGATGAAGCGACTAGATCGACCAGACAGAGCACATCGAACAACCTTATCATACCTAGGCCCCAACTGTTAGTGTATAGGCGGCCACTGAGGTGATTTTTGGTAACTAGGTAGCTTAACTGGCTGGTATAGCTATATGTATTATTAGTTGCTGTTAACGTTTTCCGGCACAATCTGTCCCCCCCCCCAAAAAAAAACGCATGTTTCATGTCCTTTTTAGCAAGTACAGAGAATGACCCTTGCACTATGGCCCCAACACAGTTTTCGCACCTGGCTGCCTCTAGCACAAAACCTGCTACCCAGTCTTCAAAAAGTTTGTACGCACTCTTTTCTATACACACAGTTTTCGCCCTATTGGGATTTCTATGGTTAAGGACTGCAAGGTGACTCACTTCGACGTGAAAAAAAATATAGTAGGGTGCACTTCAGGAGTACGAAAAACCAATATGTTTCAGATGAAGGCATAACCTACAAAATATCTAAAAACAAAAAAAAATCCTGTCGGCGTATTGTCTTTTGACGCTCTCTTTGATATCACCCTCTACCGAGTTCAATTAGACTGCAGCGGGATCACCCGGAAGGCCAGTTGCGTAATGTGGCGTATTTATACACAAACGGGAAAAACTACACAATCCAAATCATACGGTCTGACAGCCGACATGGTTCTATATCTCACACCACAATTGACACCTGGCTGTCTCTTGCACAAAACCTGCTACAAAACCTCTTTGTTTGTACGCACTCTTTTCCATACACGGGTCATAGACCCGGGGGTCGCCCATTAATACTATGTTCTGCGGTTGTATCATTCATGGGTCCTGGGAACGTGCCACTATCTCGGGCAGTTGTTTATGAGTCCATGGGAGTCAACTGAGCTTCCAAAACCCCGCCAGAATACAGAAGGGAGAACCAACGGAGTATTCTCACGTTGGTGAAGGAAGTTGGAGATCACAAACCGACATCATACCTTAACGAGTCACATGTACAAAGAAAGACCTTACACAAGCAATAGCGGCATCTAGCAATCTACGATCAAACTGCACCTAGAAGGAAAAAAAAATGAGAGGATTCTATATCATTCAACTTCAACTTTTTTCACTCGTGAGCCAGAACCGAATAAATGATCCAATCACTGGTTTATTGCAGAAGCCGATGGAGTCCTGCGGATCTCTGAGAACCTGATTTATCCTGCCTGGAACGCTGTTGCAAATATTAACAACAGACTAGTGACTAGGGGGAAGCTCATGGATTAAATAGACTCACGTTCTTTATGCTTACATCTGATCGTGACAAATTAGTTCAAAACCGAACTAATTTTTTTATTTTATTTTTTTT